GGCGCCCCATTCGCCCCAGGACAGCCCCCTTCCGCCACCCCCTCTGGAGGGAACGCCATGGGATGAAGAGCGGGTGCCGGGACTGCCATCCCCAGAGGCTGCAGTGGTCCCCGCGGCTGGTGGAACAGCCCTGTCCACACCTTCTGAACTCTGAACAGGAGCGTAGACGGGTCCACACAACTGTCCAGGGTGCAGAGCGCCAGGCTGCCACGAGGCACCACAGAGGCTGTGGGCTGGGTCCAAGTAGCACAGCAGCACACTGCTTGGTGTGAAGGCCAGCACCGGTGCGGTCAGCCAGCATGCAGAAGTGGCCCCGTGGCACTGCGGTGTGGCATGTGCTGGCGGCCGGTGAAAATCGGCTGCCAGTTGAGGCCTAGGCCTGCAAGTCCCAGGGGGCATGTTGAGGCAGAACACATGGCCAGAGCACGTCCGCAGGGCGCAGGCCACAGGGTTGCACCAGGGCCAGGCAGTGGTCCCCGCTGACGGCAGCCAGCAGCAGCAACGTGCCGTATGTGTGGCCATAGAGCGTGGCCGTGGCCAGGTGGCAGGTGACCCCACAGGTGGTAGGCAGCCGTGGGGGCAGTGCCCGGCCAGCTGCGGTGGGCAGCTGCCAGGTCCATCAGCCGCAGGGGAAGAGCTGTGTGGCATCCATGTGGCCAGGACCCCCTGTGGCCCGGACCAGCCAAGTGCAGGCCTCAGTCTGGCACACCAGTCTGCTAGCGGCACCTGCCAGCTGGGTGGGGGTGCCATCGTGCCACGGTCGCTGGTGCAGACCCATCCCGGTAGCCATGGAGTTGGCGGGACAAGGGAGTGCCACCTGAGGGCAGAAGGAACTGCTCCGCCCCTGCTGCAGCCCCTGCCTCAGGGGACGGAGGGCCCGGGGGCTGCCCCGTGGCGTGGACTGGACACAGCATGGGACAATGAGCCCCACGGCAGGGTCAGGGCCAGGGTGCAGGGGCTGGGCTGGCGCACGCGCATCTTGTCCCCTGCTGGCTCTGGCCAGCTCCGTCTCCACGCCCTCTTTCCCCGAGGCAGGGCCACTGAGCTACGGTGCGGGCACACAGGGAAAGGAACCGGGAGGGCCAGCCTTGCCCCGCATTCGCCAGGGCTGCTTGCCCACCACTGTGGAGTCCAGAGGGTGGGCTAGGAGGCCCGGACCGCTCCGGGTCTCTCCGCCCACAGGAGCAGCTCCGAGGGCCCTGGTCTGGGCCAGCAAGACAGGGCCTCCGGCCGCAGCCCCGGCCCAGGCCCTGTCCGGTCCATGAAGTGACTCTCACCCGAGAGGCCACGTCCTCCGGGCCAGTCATGCCAGCAGCCCGTTCTCCCAAAAGCCCTGCCGTCCAGGTCTCCTCCCCGCCCAGCAGGGGCTTTGGCCCTTCCTGAAGCTGCCCCCACTTCCTGTTTCCAGCGGGCAGGAAGAGCCCCAGGTTGGAGGGCAGAGCGAGCGAGCAAGAGCACCGCCCCTGGGTGACCGCAGTCCTGGGCAGGGTGCCCGACCCAACGCTGCTGCCGCTGCCCAGTCCGGTCCCCACAGCTGTCCCCGTGGGTCTCTGCAGCCGTCTCCGCCCCTCACCTAAAGCTCTCCTGTCCCCACAGCTGTCCCTGCGCAGGCGTCCGAGGGCTGGAGGGCACAGAAGCCCAGGCGAGCCCCTGACCCGCGTCGGTCTGCCACTCCCCCTCCCCACTGAGAAAACCTATTTGAGCCGGGCTTGGCGGCTCGGCCTGTGATCCCGCGCCTCTGGGAGGCTGAGGCGAGTGGATGGCCTGAGCCCGCGGACTCGAGACCCGCCTGGGCGGCGAGACCTCCTCTCTGCAATCAATCAAAAAATCAGCCGGGCGTGGTCGCGCGCGCCTGTGATTCCGGCTACTCGGAAGGCCGAGGCGATCCTTCGCCGGCGCCCAGCAGGCGAGGCTGTGGGGGCCGGGAGCGGCCACTGCACTCCAGTATGGGAGACAGAGACTCCAACTCCAAAAAGAAAAAAAAAAATAAATAAATAAATAAAAAACCTATTTGAACTGAGATCAAACACACGGAACACGGAACGCAACATCTTCACCGCTTCAAGCCTGTGGCTCTGCATCTGCTCCCTCCGCGTGCAGCCACCAGCACCATCGCCTCCCGGACTCCTCATCCTCCCACCCTGAGGCTCGGGCGGGAAACCCCATCCTCCCAGCCCCGCCCACGCCCGGACTCTGGGGACCCTACGAGTGGATCCAGGCAGTACCTGTCCTGTGCCTGGCTTGCTCGTGAGCGTGACGTCCACTCATGCCCCAGGGGGGAGGCAGGACCGCCCGAGGCTAGGAGCCCTCTGGATCCACAGGCCCGAGAGGAATGGGGCAAGGGGGAGGGCAGGCGAGGAGGGAGCCAGGAGGGCACAGGCGTCTGGCTTGTCCCTCCAGGCGCCCACGGCCCAGCCCGCTCCCCCGGGCTCCCGAGACTGCCGTGGGGCCGACTCGCTTTCCCCAAAACTCTCGTTTCTAGAGGAGTTTTGGGTTCACAGCCAAGCGGAGGGAAAGGGAGAGGGCATCCCCTCGCCCTGACCCCGCCCACGCTCAGCCCCTTCCCAGAGTGGGCACCTGTTCTGGTGTCTGACACGTTGCCATCCCCAAGCCCACCGTGTGTCCCCGGACTCGCCCTCATCCGCTCTGTGGCTTGGGACAAGGGTGCAGTGCCGCGCTCACCGTGGTTTGTCACGCACGCAGGGCAGTCTACGCCTGAAAACCCCTGAGCTCCCCGTCCCCCCGCCCTGGCTTAGCTGTGCCCTCTGCAAAGTGCCTGTGGCTGGAAGCTCCGCGTCTCTCACGCGGGTCCTCCACTCAGCCCGGGCCTCGGGGCCCCTCCGGGTCTTCCCCGCATCGTGGCTCCAGCTTTGCTGCCGAGTGGCATCCCGCTGTCCGGGTCACCCAGCTCACACGTCCATCACCACCCAAGGGCGCTGGGCTCGCTCCGGGGTCCAGGGACGAGTGCAGAGACAGGGCAGCACACAGCCTCGGGCTGCAGCCTCTCCGGAGCCTGGGCCCTGGCCAGAGCGGCTCCCGTGTGCACGGCGCCGGATCCTTGGGAGGCAGCGGTGGCCACGCAGGGAGGCCGGGACCAGCCCGGGGCAGGGGGCGGCGGCCCTCCGGGGTCAGCCAGGAGCTGTGAGCAGAGCTGGGCCCCATCGCCCGGGGGCAGGTGTGGGGCTGGGGTGAGATGTGAGCAGCCACGATGCCGGCGAAGACCAGGATGGAGGACGGGCCAGCCGGGGGCGCAGAGGGCGGCCGCTGGGGAGGGCCTCGGTCTGGGCCTGGACACGCAGGCCGGTCCTCGGTCTCTGCCGCGTGACACTCAGGTGGGGACACTTCGGTGTGGAGGCGGAGTTGGGCAGGAATCTTCCAGAAAACATCCGTGTGGCAGAGGAGTGGGTGGCCTCGAGAGCCCGGCTCTGCCGTTGGAGGAGAGGCTTCCGCTCCTCTGGGTCTCAGACGAGAGACCCCCTGTGCCAGGAGGGGAGGGCAGGACAGGGCCCAGGGACGAGTCTGGGCCTGGCGGGCACCGACGCTCCCGCACACCCGGCCCACTCGCCGGCAACACTGCTCACAGGAAGGGACTGACAGAGCCTCATGGCTGTACGTCAGCATTTAATTAACTTTATGTGCAAATAAATAGAAAAGGAAAACTACATTCAAAGCAGCTGCAAAGGAAGGACAAGCCCGGAACAGAAATTCCTCAAAAAAAAAAGGCAAAACAAACCGGAAAAGGCGCTCCTAGAAGCATGCAAGGTCAGGAGGGGGGCTCTGCAGGCTCCTGGGCTCACCAGGGCCGGCTCAGGCCTCCCAGCGACACGCTCCCTTCTTAGAAAACCAGATCCGTGCCAAGTGCCCGCACGGCACTCGAACACGGGAGGCGCTGGGCGGGTGGGTCAGCCTTGGAACTGCCCACGCCTGGAGCCTCCAGGTCCACAGAAACCTTCCAGACCACACTTGCCCTTCCTGGAGCCTTGAGTTTGGCATGACTGCTACAGGGGGGGTGGCTCCAGCCCAGCTGAGGGTGGAGCTGGCTGCAGGAGCGCCAGGCCAGGTGGAGCGCTCACAGGGTTGAGCTGGTCTCAGCCCCCGTCTCCTGGGGTCTTGGCACAGAAAGCCTCAGATGCCTCTCCAGGATAGTCGTCTCCGCCCCTCGCAAAAGGACAGAAACAACCCACTAGGAGGCCAGGCCGGGTCCTCGTGGCTCCTCGGTGGCGTGGCAGCTGCAGGATCAGGGTGTTGGACCAGTTCTGAGATCCACGAAGTGGGATCCCACAAGGGCCGCAGGAGGTGGGCGCTGCAGAGGTTACAACACCAGGAGAGCACAAAGGAATAAATACGTGTGCGTGTATATGCGCATTTCTAGCTGTCCGCCTCAGGTATGCACTCAAGCCCACCCTCGTGGGCCCGGAGCCCAGCTGCCAGGCCAACATGGGTTCGGCAGCTCTTTGATCAGAGAAGGGTGTCCCTAGGCCCTGTGTGCTGGCTCCAGGCCCTGACTTCAAAGCGGGGTCCCAGAGTTGGGCTCGAAAGGTTTCTTTCAGTTTCAAAGTGACAAAGGCCCAAGCACTGGCTGGGCAGAGCTGACCTCTGCCCTCAGGGGATGTTTCCGCAACCCTCAGAACATTCTAGAAGGACTCGCTTTTCAGGCAGGTCCACCGAGGGCCCGACCCTTTCCCAAGTACAAACCTCCCAAGAACACCGCCTGCGACTTCCCAAGACACTGACCAGGCACAGGACGGAGCCGCCTGTCCACGGGGATTTGGCACATGTGACAGGCAGGGCCAAGGCAGGTGTGCACGCGTGGTCACCTGTGCCTCAGCCGGCATGTCCACCCACCCTGGGGCGGGACTCAGCCCCCAGGTTCAGGCTTGGCACGCGACAGGCCCCCGGGGAGCCAGGACCGAGGGGAGGTACGTCCCACTCTGGGACACTGCCCACAGCAGTGTCGCTTGTGAAGTCACCCTGCCGAAGCTGCAGGCCTAGCGATCTGAGATGCCCAGGGCGGGTCAGGGCGAGGCGGGGCGCCGGCTGTACTGCACGCGATAGCGGGTCACGGGCAAGCCATGCACGTGCGCCGTCTCGCAGAGAGTCTTGCAGGGCACCATGTCCTCGTCCTCCTCGCCCATCAGCCAGTCCTGCACCAGGCCGGCCGCCTCCACCGTGACGTTGTCCTCCAGCCAGCGGCCGTGCCACTCCTCGAAGTGCTGGTGGTGGCGCAGCAGCACCAGGGGCTGCACCTGCGGGAGGGGGCGCGTCAGGGGGCCGGGCACCCACACCAAGGGCCGGGCCCCGGGCCCCGGGCGGGCACCTGCTTGGCACGGCCGAGGGTCCCGCGGCGGTACATGTAGTCCTCGGAGTTCACGACAAACACCATCTTGTGCGAGCTGAGCTTGAAGCGGCAGTCCACATCGCAGGCACTCTCCACACCCACCAGCCGCTTCCAGGAGCCCCGGGCCTCCCCGCGCAGGGCCCGCGCCTGCTCACTCTGCCACCGGCGGCGGAACTTCTTGAGGTTCCTGTGGGCAGGGGAGGCAGGAGCTCTGGCACCATGCGGAGGCCCCGAGGGGTGGAGGGCTGCAGAGGGGAAGCCCCGCGGTGGGAACACCTGGACGAGCTGTCGCCCGAGGCAGGAAGACGCAGGCAGAGGCCAGGAGAAGCCCCCGCACCCGAACACGCGCCACTCATGGCTCAGTCGCCATCACAGCCTGGCCCAAGGTGCCACCCACCTAGGCCTGACCCTGCTGGCCCGACAGCCCCTCCCCATCCCATCTCGGTCCCAGCCTGGACCTCATCTCCTGCCCACCATGGGACACCTGCACCCTCACTCCAGGCCTGCGTCGCAGGAGGGCAGGCTGTGCACACACTAGGTGCCCACTTGGTGCTATGCAGCCTCTGTGCAGCCCACAGAGAGCCCCACAGAAGCGGCAGGGCCTCTCACCTCTGCAGGAACACAGGCTTCAGCAGGAAGCCCTCAGTGGGCGAGCTGGATGCACCCTCGGTCCCCACATACTGCTCCACATACCGAGCCAGGTGCTGGGGGCGGAAGACAGACAGCATGACCAGCATGAGCGGGCACCTGGACCCTGAACTCCGAGTTCCTCACTCTGAGCACAGGAAGAGAGCAGCTGCTGGGACCGGGGCCCGTCGAGACTGCCGGGCCACAGCTCTCCCGGAAGGACCCGGCCACGGTGGGACACACACGGCCAAGCCATGACTAGCCGGTGCTGACCGACACTTCACGCCGCTGGGGGACACCCAAGTCGTGTGTGCCCCTCCCGCACCCCTCACGTGGCTTCATGGGCAAGGGTGGGACACAGGCCGGGCAGGGACAGGAATCAACGACAGGATGCAGACGGGTCAGAGCAGCAGGAAGACCAGGGGTGAGAAGGTGGCCGGCAGACAGGCGGGCTTGCAGGGCCACTGGGGACAAGGCTGGCTCGGCCTGAAGGGTCCAGGGACCATCACCCGCACACCAGCCTGCTGAAGCCAGTCTCCTCAAGCCAGTCTCCTCCAGCATCAGGCTTAGCAACTAAAACCCCATTTCCTGGACACTTCTGGACGGGCAGGACAGCCACACGCACTTGCCTGTAAGAGTGTTTCCTGTGAAGAGGCCTCTGCGGCCTAGGGGCCCCCCATGGCCGGGGCGGGTGGAGGAGCCCAGCACCCCAGTGGCTAGCCCCGGGGACATAGCGCATGGCCCAGGCTCTGCTGGAAGCCTTGAGCGGACAGGGCTCTGGTTCCCACACCGCAGACCTCCGCTGCTTCAGTTTAGGCTGAAAGGCCGCAGTGGCCACGCTGCTGACGCACTTGTCTACAGACTGCCTGGCTCCAAGGACGGTCTCAAGGAGCGAAGCGAGGGAGAACAACACCCGTCCTGGGTCCTCCGGGCGGCCAAGGGGACTCGGCACACAGGCAGAAAGACCATTCACTGCCAAATCCCGGAATGTCCCGGCGAGTGGGGACAAGCTGGCCACAGCTATGCATTGAGCACTGTCCCCCAAAAGACGGTCCCACTCGACCCCCAGGACCAAGAACGTGACCGTGTTTGGAAAGTCTCTGCAGAAGTGATGTAAGTGGAGGACACAGTGGAGCAGGTTGGGCCCTGTGTCCAGTCACTGGTGCCCATAAAGGAAAAGAGACCGAAAAGCCCTGCGAGAAGGCCACGTGGGGACAAGAGGCAGAGACTGGAGGGCCTTGGCCATGGCCGAGGGAGCCTGGAGCGCCGGAAGAGGGAGGAGATGGGAGGATCCGCACCCAGAGCCTGCCAAAGAAGCCAGGCCGAAACACCTTGCTCTGGCCTTGTGGCCGTCTGAACCACGAGGACTGACTCCTACTGCGTGTGCAGTTGTGCAGTTCGTGGTCACCTGCTACGGCGGCCGCAGGAAACCCACGTGGCCACCCTAGCTGAGCAACACACACACACGCCGGCAGGGCCAGAGGTGCTGGGGGCGGGAGAGACCACATGAGCAGCAGGCGGAAGGACAGAAGGAAGGGGCAAGGGCAGCCTCCGCAACCGCGCTGGGACCCAGGCAAGTCCACGCTGACCTGTCACCAGAGTTGGGGGAGAGCACCAAGGCCAGGCGGGTCCTCTCCTGTGACTAGGGATCAGGACGTGGAGCCCAGAGTCACAGACGCAGGAGGGCGGAGCACGTGTGCCATGAGGGCCGGGGCCATGTGGCCTGGCTCCCAGCCACCCCAGCCCCGGGTCAGCCGCTGGCAGCTGAGGGGCTGCCTGCTCTGTGGGGACTGAGCACGGAAGGGTCTGGCGGGGGGATGCCCACCCGCCGGGACCGCAGGAAGGGCGAGGCTCCGTCCCGGGGGACAGAGGGCCCTCTGCTCCCATGGGGTGTGTCCACGGGGACCGCGGTGCTGGGCCTCACCTGGACCTCCACGGGGTCTTCCGTCTGGGCCTCCTCGGTGTCCAGGAGCTCAATGGTCATGAGCACCTGGCCTGTGCGCTGCAGGAACATCACCTGAGGGGGACACGGCCCACGGCCCGCTCTGCTGGGGCAGCCAAGCCGGCGAGGACCCGGGCAAGGCCGCCAGCTGCTGGCCGCACCGTCCCCAAGGCTCCTCGCGGAGCTCAGGGCCTCGTGGCCCACGGCAGGGCCGGCATCCGCCCAGACGGGGTGCGAGCGGCTGCCCTGTGCCCGCTCCCAGGCCCAGTCCCGGCCCAGTGCGCGGCAGGGTGGGGCGGCCTCTGACCTTGAAGCAGTTCTCATCGGCCATGCAGCGCTCGGCCTTCCACTGGTAGCTGGTCTCGCGGGCGGCCCGGACGCAGCGGGAGGACGCGTTCCCGCCGGCGGCCCCCCGCTTCTTCTCGCTCAGGTAGAGCTCGGCCACCTTCAGGCAGAGGTCGTCGCTCACCAGGTGGTGCAGCTGCAGGGAGAGCAGGTGTGTGCCCGCCACCTCCTCCTCTGGAGCCCCACTCCCCGTGAAGAGGACACCAGGAGGACTGGGACATGTCGGGACAGAGCCCAGGGCATGGGGAGGAAGGCCAGGTCCGAACAGGCTACGTGGGGCAACCTTGGCGCTGTGTGGACCGGGCCGGACCAAGACTGGACCAGACCAGACCAGACCAGACCCAGACCAGACCAGACCCAGACCAGACCAGACCAGACCAAGACCAGACCAAGACCAGACCAAGACCGGACCAAGACCGGACCAAGACCGGACCAAGACCGGACCAAGACCGGACCAAGACCGGACCAGACCAGACCAGACCAGACCCAGACCAGACCAGACCCAGACCAGACCAGACCAGACCAAGACCAGACCAGACCAGACCAGACTAAGACCGGACCAGACCAGACCAGACCAGACCAAGACCAGACCAAGACCGGACCAGACCAGACCAGACCAGACCAGACCCAGACCAGACCAGACCAAGACCGGACCAGACCAGACCAGACCAAGACCAGACCAGACCAAAACCAAACCAACGGCAGACCAGACCAGACAAACCAGCTAAGACCAGACCAAAGCAGACCAGATCAGATCAGTAAACCTCCCGTGAGAGTTGAGAAATGCACAGAAAAGACAAGGAGGCGGGGCAGCTGAGGCGCTGACTGCCAGTCCCAGTCACACAGCCTGTTTTCACTGCCGCCTTCTTTTTCAACAGGTTCTAGAGATACCTGCGGAAAGAGAGACTGTTTTTCCAAACCGTGGTCCCAGTGCCCATCTGGCCCACCCTCCTGAGGCTGGAAATGAGGCTGTGTCCCCACAGCTGGGCCCCGGGGGTACCTAGCTGCTCCGCTGCCCTGTCACCACCCGGCACTGGCACAGGGTCCTGGCGCCCTCTTCAGGCGGCCCTGTGCCCGTCTCTCCATCACCCAGCCAGGGCACAGCCTCGCCAGCCGCTGGTGGGAGTGGGCCAGGAAGCTGGGCGCTTTGGCTGGTGGGACACGCCTGCCTGTGCCTCACGCTGGGCGAGAAGATCACACCACATGGGGCACCCCCAACACCCATCCTCGGGGAACAGAGGACAAACAGGTCATTCCCGGGAACGCTTGGTGGGCGTGAACATCTCAGCGGGGGGAAGCTCACAGAAGGCACTCCCGGCAAGTGGATGCCAGGTGCCTCCGTTCACACAGGGCTCGAGAACCAGGAGCTACCTCAGTGCAAGTATCCGGGTGGGGGTCCAAGGGGGGCTGGGAGGGGTGCAATGTGGGGGTCCGTCTGTGAGAACCCACCAGCCCGCTTCAGATCCGGGCACTTCCTGCACATACTACTCTAGCAAGCAGTCATTAAACCCGCAGGAATGTTCCCTGTGACAGTGACCGGGTAGAAGGGTAATGGTGTGACTTTTTCTCCCCAACGTCTTTTCTGCCTTACAACGAACAGGCTTACTTGATAACAGGAAACAAAAGTTGCAGACAATTAGGGCAGAACCGAGCAGGACCCATGTCCTGTGCGCACAGGCCCATCCAGACTCTTGCTACGTTTTACACACTTTCCTGCCTTTGATGTTCAGCTGGGCCAGTTTCGCTACCACTAGAACCACCACCGACTTCCATCCCTCACCACCTCGAGTAAGCAGGTTAAGGTTTCTACATGTTGTCGGTTTTCCTCAAGAAAGATCTGCCAGCAGAAATTCAAACAAAACCTGTACACAAATGTTCACAGCAGCACCATTCACAACCTCTGCAAGGCACCAACAACCCAGATGCCCACCAGCAGGTGGAGGACAAACATGTGGTCCATGCAGAACAACTCAGTCATATGGAGCACAACTCAGCCATAGAAAGGAGGCACCGACACGGGCCACAGCGTAGACAAACCTTGAACGCATGACACCAAGTGAGAGAAGCCAGACACACAAGGCCATATGATGTATGACTCCATTGATAGATGTCCAGAACAAGCAAATCCAGAGACAGAAGCAGATTCGTGGCCGTCAGGGGCTGGGGGAGGGGATGGGGAGTGACTGCTGATGGGACAGGGCCTCCTTTTGGGGAGATGGAATGTTCTGGAAGTAGACAGAGGTGATGGTTGTGCAATACTGTGGATGTACTCAATCAGAAATTGTGCACTTGAAAATGATTTTTTTTAGCCGGGCTCGGTGGCTCAGCCTGTAATCCTTTTGGCGCCTTTGGGAGGCTGAGGTGAGTGGATTGCCTGAGCCCGCGGGTTCAAGACCCGCCTGGGGAACTTGGCAAGACCTCATCTCTACAACAAATCAAAAATTAGCTGGGCGTGCCTGTAGTTCCAGCTACTGGGAAGGCTGAGGCGGAAGGATCGTCGGAGCCCAGCAGGTCGAGGCTGCGGTGGCCGGGAGCGGCCACTGCACTCCAGTCTGGGCGACGGAGTGAGACTCCAACCCCCCAAAAAAAGAAAATGATTTTTTTATGCGAACTCATCTCAAGACACAAAGGACAGGCTTGCTGTGCTGGCCACGAGCTCCCTCTCGCCCGGGGGTGCAGGAGGTGGGGCGGAGGGTGGGACTCCCTCCGGCACCCTGAAGAGGGAGTCCCGCCCACCCCTCACCTGCCGTGCGATGTTCTGCACCAGCTTGTCCATGGTGAAGCCTATGTAAGCGTGGATGGTGAACATCTCGCGCAGTGTGTCCTCATACTGCGTGGGGTCGATGCTGCCCTCCAGCAGGCTGCGCACCATGTCCAGGAAGGCCGGGTAGTACTCCTCCAGCTCCACCTCACCTGGGGACGGGACCGCGGCTTCACTCGCTGCCTCCCACGCCAGCCACGCTCCACTCTGGGAGCTCCGAGACCCCTGCAGGGCCCGGCAGCCCTCACCTGTCACCACAGGCCAGATCCGGGAGTCACCAAAGACACCCTTCACGGATGCTGCCTGACCTGAGCCCGTGGCTCAGTCACGACTTGGGCGTGGTGACCCGAGTGCCAGAGCCGGGCCTTACGCGCCTGGGCTGGGCAACAGCGCGCTGCGCCCAGAGTAGCCCCTACCCCCAAGAGGCGGGGCCAGGGGCGCGGGCCCGGCCCTGCACAAGCAGCTTCCCCTCTGCCACCTCCCGTCGGGAAACACAATCGCCTGGAGGTGCCGAGGAGCGCGGCGCGGCCTCGCGGCCACAGGCTCACGGCGGCCGAGTCTTACTGGGCTGCCTGAGCCGCAGCTCCATGGCGGGGTCGCCGCCCTTCTCCCGGCGCCCCTCGCACAGCAGCCTCTCGCGCTCCTTCTCGGCCCGGAACTCCAGCAGCTGCTTCTGCGCCTGGCGGTAGATCTTCAGCAGCCGGGAGCACAGCGTCTGGTGCAGGCGCAGGAAAAAGTACCAGTTGTTGTTGGCGAAGAACAGGCCGTACACGTCGTCGGGCGGCCTGGGTGGCGTGCTGGCTGCAGCGGGCCCGGGCGCCCCCTTCTCCTGCTGGGCACTGCTCTGCGGCCCCGGCGCAGGCTTCTGGCGCTCGCCGGGCTCGGCGCTCGGCCCCTGGGGGCCGTCACGGTCCTCACCGGCCGACTCCTCAGACGCGCCCAGGTCCAGCTGCTGGGAGAAGAAGAGGCTGGGCACGAACTGGTGCAGCAGCTGGTGGATGGTGCCCTGGTCCTCCTTCTGGATGGCCGGCTGCCGCTTCACGTAGTAGCTGATGAGCGCTGCTGCGTCCTCCAGGATCTGCCGGTCCTCGTACACGAAGATGAGGTGCGGCTCACTGGCGGGGGCGCTGCGGCCCTCCGAGTGCTGCTCTTGGTGCTGCAGGACAAGACGGCCATGAGGCAGGAAGCCCCGGTGCCCAGGGGACCCCCGCCCTCTGCGCATTGCCGGGAGCTGGGCCACGAGGGCAGACGTGCCGCCTGAAGGGGTGAGGCGCCAGGGCTGGGTGCCCCTCCCAGAAGGCTGTGGCTACCCAGAACGAGCTCTAGCTGGGGACCAGCGGGGCTCAGGGTGGGCCCCGGGCCTCTCTGTCCTCGTTCGGATGCTCAGTTGCTCCCAGAAGGCCTGTGACTGCCTGCAACAGGAGTGGCCCACACCCCCGCCTCTGTCTGCTCCCCAGCTCCTCACCCCATCCATGTCCTCCCTGCCACCACTACAGCCTTCTCCCGCTCACTCCGACCACGCTCCAGCTGGGTCCAGGGCGAGGTGGCGAAGAGGGGCAAAGTCACCCCAACTAAGACCCCCAGGCCTTCCCAAGACACTCAGAAAATCTGGGCCCAGGCACACCCTCTGCAAAGCCTCCAGTCTCACGACTCCAGGCTCCTCCCTGTAAGGGGCCAAGCGCCCTCCCGCATGCGCAGAGCGTTTGCCCATGCCTGTCTGCCCTTACTCCCCGGAGAACCTTGTCCCTGTTCTCACCCTCTCCTTGGTCTTCTGTCCAGATCATGACTTTCCTTCCCCAAACCTGAAGACAACACGACTTTCTCCAGCCCTCCCGTCACTTGGTCCCAGGACCCAGCCCCTCTCCTGGGTGGCCCTGACCCCTCAGCACCAGGCAGAGGCAGATGCACCTGGGATCCTGGGGTCCCTGCAGGTGGTGAGCGCCCAAGGGCAAGGCCGGGTCTCCCCAGAGCTCTTGGTGACCAGCCCGGGGCACGGCACCCACCAGGCTCCTTAAACACCTGCACAACACATTTGGGGAGGAAAGTCCCCCACCTCTTCCCGTAGCACCTTGACGTTCTAGGGGGCGTGCCATGCATCTTCTCACCACGGGCTGTGCTCCTCTACTCAACGCGAGTCCTTCCTGGCAGCCCTGATTTCCTGCCCTCCTCGCCCGCACAGCAGGGTGGAGGCCATGAAAGCTGAGCCCGGCCCTCTCGGCCCTACAGTGGACTCTGCTCTTGTATGGCTTTCGCGTCCCTGTGTCTCACCCTCTTCCCAGGTCCCCTCTTGAGCTCAGCCCGAGGTACATGCCTTGGAACCGTGCCTCACGAGGGTCTGACTCGAAACAGAGCAGAGCATGCATGTGCAGGGACCCCCAGCCCCAGCCCCAGGGAGAGCGCCGAGGACTCAGCGGTCACCCTGGAGGGTCGAGAGCCACATCACCAAGCTCCGTCTGCAGACACCATGGGCTCCACGGGCGGATCCTGGGCCTTGAGGACCCGCGGAAAACCAGAGGGAGGACGGGCTGCGGGGCAGGCCCAAGGCCTCGCAGGGTGAGGAGACGGGAGGGAGAGGGCTCCAGGCTGCCCTGGCGTCTGGGGGTGTGGCTGTGCACTGCACAGCCAGCCGGAACAGAGGAGGCGTGTGAGGCAAACGCCCCGCCCTGTGGGCATGGGCTGACACAACAGCCCCTCTGTGGTCCGGGCGCTGTCCAGCACCACCTCCCCGGCCACCACCTCAGAGCCCCCGACAGCCACCCACCCTGCGGCCATCACTCCTGCCAAGTTTCCCCTCAGACCCTGTGAGCCGCTCCCCACACTCATGTGTTCAAGGCCCGATCCTCAACACCAGCGGGCCCAGCTCCCTCAGTCCTGGGACTCAGACCCATGAGTCCGGAGAGGCTGAGGGCATGCATGGGAGGTGCGTGGGGAGAACATGAGGGGTGCAAAAGGGGCGTACGAGGGGCACATAGGGCATATGGCAGAAAGCAAAGCCCAGGGTCAGCCAGATCTGATGACTCAGAGCCCCGGGCCCCTGCGGCCGGCCTTGCTTGGCAAGAGCACGGCTCTCATGCCTCAGTTTCCTCTTGTTAAAATCAGGACTGCAACGCTGCCAGAGCAAGGCTGAGGGAGGCCAGTGAGGTGTTCCTCTGGGGACGCTGACGGGGCTGGCAGTCAGCAGTGAAGACGCGCAGGCGCTGCCTCCCGTGCCCTCAGCCTCCACAGGGGGAGCCTTTCCGGACAGCAGCAGAGGCTCTGATCCTCCGCCTGGACCGGCAGGGCGGGGCACCTGCCAGGGGGTACCGTAGGAACACCACCACAGCCCCGCAAGGGCCAAGCCATTGGCCCCACCAAGCCACTGGGCAAACGGAGGGGACCAGCAGCCTGCTCGCAGCAGCCAGGAGGGCCGGGACCCCAGGAGCCCGGCGGGCAGCCCCACCTCATCGTAGACGCTCTCAATCTCGTTGAGCAGGCTCTTGGAGCGCAGGGCCTTGGTGTCATTCTGCTTGAAGTTCACGGCCTGGTGGTCGAGGGACTTGAGGTAGGCCTTCTCGTACTGCTCCCGCCAGATCTTGTTGAAGCCCTGCTGGGCCTCCCGCCACTCTTCTTCCTTGGCCTTCAGCCTGCGGGGGGGAGAGGGCTCAGCACAGCCTGTCCCCAGGACTCAACCCCGCCCCGCGTGCCGGGGGCAGGGAGGCAGGGGGGAGTGAGCGACGGTCTAGAGTTCTCCGTTTGCCTTTGGGCGCTGTGGCTGTGGGCTTAGCCACCCAGCGCCCCCACTCAGTGAGACCCAGAGGGAGCGACTGGGCAGACATGCCCACCTCCACGTCCTGGGGCCAAGTTCAGCACCTGCCTGACGTGCCACTTAACAGACACCCGCTCACTAGCATGGGGTGACAAGGTCCAAGACGTGTCATTACTAGAAAGCAAGCTGCAGTGCACAGCCATCCCATTTAAGATTTTTTTTTTCAGAGACAGGTTCTTACTCTGTGACCCAGGCTGGAGTGCGGTGGTACCATCGCAGCTCTCTGTAATCTCCAACTCTGGGGCTCAGGCCATCCTCCTGCCTTGGCCTCCCCAAGTACTGGGATTACAGGCATGCACCACCATGCCTGGCCTCCATTTGTGTTCTAAAGTAGCTATTTACATGCCTAGATTATGTGCATGGTGCGAAGTCCTAGAAGGCCACAGTGCCCTCTTCTCAGGAGTGAGACAGGAAAACGGGGGGACCCCAAGGGGTCCCTGGGACCCTCTCAGATGACACCTGTGGACAAACAGCTCTCAAGAGCTTCTGGGCGCAGGGCAGCCAGATGCCAGGAGGCACCTTTTCAGGACGACGGGAACGGCGGTGACAGGGTTCTTCTTGAGGCTTTCAATGATCTCTGGGGCTTTGTCCCCATAGATGCGGTGGATGGCACGCCGCTGGATCACTTCCGACGTGCCCCCCAGAGAGTCATCCAGCCGGAACTTCTCCTGGTCTTCCGGCGCCATCCGCGAGAGCTTCTTCTGCACACTTTCCAGCACACGAATGGTGGCCAGGTTGGTCTCCAGGACGACATCTAGCTGCGGACAGGCAGGCAGCAAGGGTCAGCGGAGGGGCTCAGGGCCCTGGGAGGGGTCTGAGCCGTCACAGAGCTGTGACCCTGAGGGAGGGTGCAGCTGGTTACAGAGTGGGGTCCAGACCTCCACAACAGTGCCATGGCCAGGCCCCTCAGGCCAGCCACCGCACATCAATGTCCAGCAGCAGAACAGTGAAGCCACTGCTCTCAATGGAGATGGGCCCCAGGCAGGCCTTCTTCAGGGCACCTGAAGCTCTGTCCAGCTAGGTAGTAAAAGGGAAGGGACTCGGTACACCAGGTATCAGATGCGCTCTGGGGTGCTGTGTGAGAGGCAGCAGTCCCGCACGGTACCCAGTGTGCAAGCCGCTGACGCAACCGTCCTGGGATGCCACAGAGACAGAGGCAAAGAGGAGGCAGCGGTGCCGGGGCGAGGCATGCAGCTCTTGCGCAGGGCAGCGCTTGCTACGCAAGGGGCCCGAGGGGCTGCGGCTCCTCAGACCTTGACCTGGTGATGGACACAAGCTTCCAGAGGGAGCAAAACGGCACAAAACCGAACACCCACATGCACACAGCACAAACACCATGCGCATGGGTGTACACACGGGCAACCAATCAGGGGCTGGCTCTCTGTGGTGTTTCTTACACTGCAAGTGACCATGACCATCTCAGTAAAGATGCTAACTAAAAATTAAGTTAGCTATAGAAAATTAACTATAAAGAAAATGTTTACAAGGAAAAAAAAGGCCATCCTGCAGCCAGCCCAGAGTCTGGCGAGCATGGGCAGAGACAGAGGCTCTAGGAGCTGCCTTCCTGCAGAGGGCTGGAAGCTCCAGGAGGAGAGCATGGGGGAGGCCCAGGATGCATCTGCCATGGAGAAGGGCCAGACCTGCACCCAGGAAGACCACACCTGCCAGGAGGACGGGGCACGCTGCACGCACCTCAAAGCGTTCATCCTCACAGCGGTGCAGCTGCTCCTCATAGGGCGTCTTCTTGGAGCTGACAAAGGTAGAGTCCTCCGACCAGGAGGGGAAGGAGACCCAGGTGTCATTCAGCACCTGCCGAGAGGGGATGGCGTGAGTGGCATGCAGGCCCCGTGGCCACGCTGTTCGCTGTCACCCAGGGTAGGAGACACAGAGGTATGTGACGCCACCCTGGTTAGACACAGGCGGCAGCTGTACCGGCACGCACGGTAACTTGGGTTTTTTAAAGAGACTGAGCCCGGCTCTGTTGCCCAGGCTGGAGTGAGTGGCACAGTCACAGCTCACCACCGCCTCGACGTCCGGGGCTCAGGCGATCCTCCCACCTCAGCCTCCCAAGTAGCTAGGGCTACAGAAATGCGCACCACACCCGGCTAATTTTTAATTTTTCGGTAGAGATAGGTCTCACTATGCTGCCCAGGCTGGACAAACTGTTAAGATTACAGTTTTTAAGGGAAGACACGACTTTGGTCCAGTGAACATATTACCTCATATACCTCATAGTTGCCCCTCAGTACCCCAGAGGGTGGGTTCCAGAATCCCCTGATACCAAAACCCACAGAGTCTCAGTCCCTTGGAGAGAACGGCATAGTATCTGCACATCCTTCCACATGCTTTAGATCATCTCTAGGTTTCTTAGGATACCTGGTAGAATGTAAATGTTACATAAGTAGCTGTAACATTGTACTCTTTTAGTTTTGGATTATTTCTTAATGCTGTATTGTTATATTCTGAACATTTTCAACCTGCAGCTGGTTAACCCCATGGCTGCAGGGCCAATGGACACCAAGGACTACGTCAGATGGCGAGTAATCCCTGTCATGGACCAGATGACATCCCAGGCTCGGCAGGGACCCAGGATGAAAGTTCAGCCCTGCCCATGGTGAAAGCAGCCACCAGCAGCACGTACAAAACAGTCGTGGCTATGTGCCGGTGAAACTTTATCTACAAGCATAGCTGCGGGCTTGGGGCCTTGGGGTCATGGCTGGGCAGCCCTCCACCACCTCCCAGAGTCCAGTAGCACTTGCACTCTGAACACGCAGCGATTGTCAGTCCACAGCCCCGAAGAAGCATCCAGTGTCAAGCTAAACAGCAGTACTGTGGCGAGCTTGGGATAGAGCAGAACCATAGCAGCCCACACCTACTCCGGTCACAGAGGAAGAAGCCATGCTCCACACTGTCCATGGGCACTGGGCTCTGCCAGAACCACCAGCAGTGACACTGGAGTCTCTGTTGGGCCACACCCAGTACCACTCACAGCCCAGCCCGGGCACCAGTGCTCTTGGGGCTCCCAGCCCTACCTCCTTGCAGATGGCCGTCCTCCCGCTGCACCTGGGCTGCTGGTAGGTCTTGGGGAGCGCCCGGTAGCTGGACCCAATGCGCTTGCATGATGCATAATCGATCTCCCGGCTCATCCCATCTCCAGATCTGTCACCCATGGGTGGCGCGAACGACAGCTCCTTCACCCCCAGAAAGGACTTGAACTGTGCAAAGAGCTCTGGAAATTTCCTTCAAAGACAAAGACAGAGAGTGAGTCAGCACCCACCCAGAGCCTGCTGAGAAAGATCTGGAGATTTCATGGCTTCACTGCAAGATGAAGAGAAGAGTCAGAACAGTACCACAAGGGGACCGAGAGGTGGGCCGCACATCACATGCACATACAGTCACTGCACAACCCCACGTGTGCGAGTGAATCTGCCCCCACCCCATCACCAGCCAGGCCTTCCCTGTGGTTTCTGATCCCCTGTTCTCAGAACGGCCTTGGAACAGAGAAAAAGTCGACCTATACTGGGAGGAGGTCCGTGCCTGGAGAAGCCAGGCTATAGGCCAGGAGTGCCACACTGTGGCCCACCTGCCCAGCACCTGGTTTTGTAAAGTTTTATCGGCACATAGCCATGTCTGCTGGTTACATCCTGCCTGTGGCTGCCTGAGCAAAGGAGCAGCTAAGTAATTTCCAGAAGCTATCTGGCCCTTCCCAGGTCGTCTGCTGACTCCTGAGCCAGCGTCCTCCTCCCTAATGAGAAGCTCCTCCCTGTGAGCCTCTGTGGACTCAAGAGTCAGAACACCAGGACCATGCACACTGACAGAAAAGCTTTAATGCAATTGACCCCAATGTTGTTGGGATTTCTGCTTCAATATCAGACGTGGCAGTGTGTACTGATAGTCCCAGTTACTGGGGAGGCCGAGGCGGGAGGATCCCTTGAGCCCAAAAGTCAAGAGGAGCTGGGGCAATATAGCAAGACTTTGTCTCTTAAAAACAACACCAGATCCTGGCTGGGAGTGGTGGCTCAGGCCTGTAATCCCAGCAATTTGGGCGGCTGAGGCAGGAGGACAGCCTGAGGCCAGGAATTTGAGACCAGTCTAGGCAACTTAATAAGACCCCACCTCAACAACAACAACAAAAAGAAAAACTAACTGGGCACGGCGGCGTGCATCTGCAGTCCCAACTACTCAGGAGGCTGAGGCAGGAGGATCGTATGAACCCAGGAGGTCAAGGGTGCACTACAGCCTGGGCAACAGTGAAAACAGCCTTCTTTTCTTCAAAAAAGAAAAGAAAAGAAAAAGAAACAGATCCTACCAAAATGGTGCAGCCCTCTGACTGCTGGTGCCACAACCCTGCTGTGACCCGGCCCAGCAGCCCCTGGCAGCTACGGCCCCCAGCAGTGTGGCCACATGCTGTGCCCACCTGTGGAGCCCAAGCCAATCCCACCATGAGGGAAGCTCCGGAGCAGGAGAAGTGGCAAGAGAGCCTGGCAGAATGGCTCTCCTGGGGCTACTGCCCAAGAGGTGCCCACCATGCCACTCCCAGGGGATGCCAGCTGGCATGCCCCTCCAGCCACACACCCCAAGAGCAGGTGGCTGCGTGTCCACCCTGTCACCCACCACATGGGGCGTGCATTTGCGGGACAGGCCCGGGAAGGCACTCACTCCAGCCATGCACTACTTCTGCCACGAGCACAGGGTTCCACTTCATCTCTGCATCTGCCCCTCAAAGATGTCCCACGTATCCTCTCCATGCAAACCCCGGACTGCCGAAGACACCATGCATGAGCGCAGCTGCCAGCAGGTCATGCGCTGGGCACCTGGCCCCTGCACTCCTTCCCCTTTAGCTCCAGAGAGTTGGCAGGTAGTGTGGCCATTTCAAAACAAAGACACCGAGGCTGGATCTGCCAGAAGGAAGCAGGGGCTCAATCCTGACCCAGTCTGGCCACGCGCCCCAGGCCCACATGCCAATATCAGCCGTGCACACAGTTCCCCCAGCCCCTGGCCTCCCAGGCAGGCTTCCCTTCCCACAGTGGCCCAGGCCCTCAGCAGGCCCCAAGCTCAGAGAGCGCTGGATTCTGAGCTCAGCAGAAGCACTGCACTGAGAACGTGCCCCAGCCATCAAGAACGCCAGCCACATTTCTGCTGAGACAGGAGACGGCCACCCTGCCCTGGGCTGCTCTTCAGAGCATATCAAGATTCTCAAAAGCCCGGAAAAGGTTCCCTCACAAGGGCAGGTTGCCAGGACCTCAGGACACCCTCGGGTGAGCTCAGCTAGACCTGGGAGTATCATCGCCTGAAAAGTACAATGTCAGCACCACTGAAGGGAGGGACCAGAGACAAACACTCACCCTTAGAAACTCTGCCAAGGTAAGGGGAGGTCATGCAGGCGTTCAGAAATGGGGATATGGGAGCTCACACTGACACTAAATGATTACCAAGAAATGCTGAGGTCAAGAAGGATACCACAGCACAGCCTGACAGTGTGACATAAGAGCCAGGCTCGGGGCAGGAGCACCTGGATGCCCCCTGGTGACAGCCACGCTCACTGACGAACGCCTGTTCCGAGCACATGGGAGGCTCGACTCAGGCCACAGCGTCCTCACTTTTCAATGGAACCAGACATGTACGGGGAGACACCAGATATATTTCGGCCCGTGAATACACACGACACCAAAGAAAAACAGAAAAGGACCTCACGGATCCCTCAGGAAGACGGCATGAAGGCAGCTTATCCTCCAAGGCTGTGGCCACGGCAGAAGCCATGCATCTCGTCAAGCATCGGCCTGGACCACCAGGAGGTGACACATGCACCAGCGCACTCTCAGGCAACTCCGCGAGCAAGGAAGCGGATGAACAAAACATGGCACTGGCATCTCAGAAAGAACACAGCAGAGGAGCACGCAGTCTAGGAGTGCAGCCAGGAAGGCCCACCGGGGGGCACAGAGGCAGGAGGAGTAGAGTCAGAAACCAGAGATGGAGAGAAGCAGGGAAGAGCCGAGTCAGAGAATCAGAGACAGTGAGAAGCAGAAAGGAGCAGGGTCAGGAAGCCAGGGAAGGAGAGATGCAGAAAGTATTTGCATCAGGAAACCGGAGATGAAGTAACTCGGAACCCTAAGACAAGACCATACCATGCCTGGGGGTGCCCCAAATGGCTATACCCTCAATACCCTCATCGGCTCAGGAGTCGATCACTCCCAGTCAAGAGGCCTTTGGCAAATGGGGCAGGACTGGGATGGCGTGTGGGAGCTCCTGGGTAGGCGAGGGCCTGTGTGTGATTCATGTGGTGGGGGTTTGGGTCTCTGCCTCATCAAGAGTTATGGAGCCATTTGTTTTCCTGGATCTGTGCTTCATTTACATTAGAAGAAAGCTGTCAACACATTGTTTTGTCCCTGGAAAGGGCTGCTCACAGAGCTCCTGCCCAGGACTGGTTCTAGCTGCACAGGACAATCATGTGATTAGGCAGCCGCCATGTGAGGCCCATTTGTTTTTTGGGGTTTTTTTTGAGTTGGAGTCTCACTCTGTCACCCAGACTGCAGTGCAGTGGCCACCGCAGCCTTGACCTGCTGGGCTCCGGCGATCCTTCCGCCTCAGCCTTCCAAGTAGCTGGAACTACAGGTGTGCGCTACCACACCTGGCTAGTTTTTTGATTTATTGTAGAGATGAGGTCTCACCAAGTTGCCCAGGCGGGTCTCAAACCCGCGGGCTCAGGCAATCCACTCACCTCAGCCTCCCAAAGGTGCGGGATTACAGGCTGAGCCACCGAGCCCGGCTCCATTTGTTTTTCTAATCTCCAATTATGTTTTCTTGGATGCTCTTCCTTCTTTAGGTGGATCCGATCTGGTGACTGATGTCACTTCCTTCTGCCTGAAGAAATTCCTCCCTTTCTCTTATTCACAGATGCTATTGTCGGGGCCCAGGGCTCCAGCTGGAGCACTTGGAACCCTGCGGAGGCAGGTACATTCATGATGCTCACTGCACAGCAGGGAAATTGAGGCTACAGTGACCAAGCGCCTTCCCCATCACTGGTGGGTAGGCGGCAACAATGGGCCTGACGGGTGCCCAGGCCTCACAGGGCGCTCACTCACTCAACTGCCCCACGAGCCCAACAGTGTGTGTGCAGCTGCCCAGCCCTCTGCCCAACAAGCCCTATGCGCCAGGGCACCAAATGCGGGGCTGTTCCAGGACCCAGCTCAAGACCCAGCGTCTCCGTGTGGCAGGGCTTCCACTTCTGAGTGTTTTCATTGAGAAGACACCAGGGACTTGGGCTGCTGAAGGGAGTCCAACGGGAGGGTCCCTTCTGTGGGTCCCATTAATGGACCGTTTTTTATACAAATTTCAGAAAGGAGAACAGATGAGTGGCTGCCAGGGTCTGAACCAGGACTGGGTGGGCTTTGGGGACAGAAATCAAAGGCCAGGGCAGGCTTCCCTGTGGTGCCAGAGTGGTGCCGCATCATGACTGCGGTGATGCGGCAACACTCAAGGGGGGAAAGCTGTACAACACACACACGCACGCAGCATGGGGACCCTGGGGAAGCTGGCAGGCAACACAGGCAGAACACAGCAAGTCCTCGCTGAACATCGTCCTGGAAACGCCAAACCCAAGCGAACAGCGTGCAGTGAAACTCCTCTTCCCACAGGCAAACTGACTTCAGCAAGAGAGAGGCGCCATGGCATCCTTGTGGTCACAGGAAGTCACCAAGCTTCTAACAGTCACGCCACCTAATCTAACATGCACGTGCGTCTTAGGACGGGGAAAAAACAGGAGTCCAGAGACACCCCATGGACCTGGGGGATGCGCAGGCTCCACTCAGACGGTGGCCCTGGCTGGGAATCTGCTCCTTTTCTCGTCTGCATTGTGAAATGACACTGAGAAAACAACGTTATTCGAGGACCTGCTGCGTCCCTGTGGCAACACTGACTGCAAATGCTGCTGCCGCCACGGGGTGGCGGGGAGCTGGCTGTGGTGTACACAGAGGGGTCACCCCCTACAAATGCATCTACATCGATGACCACCTTGGTCACCACTTCAAGCAATAAGCAACACTTTAAAGGCAAGCGTCACTTTTCAGAACAGTAGCTGAAAACAAGGTGGGCGGGGTGACAGGAGCAAAACCCATCCAGGGCCCCAGTGGTCACCGCTCACCCGAGGAATGGGCTGACCAGCTGCAGGAGCTCCGAGCCGGACACCAGCTCCTGGTTGAACAGTGCGATGCAGCGGAGGAAGTTCTCGTACACCTCCTGGCTCTTCAGCACTCTGCGGACCTGCAGAGACAGAGCGCAGGGGCCCACTGTGAACCCCGTTTCTCAGCCGCCGTGCAGACACTCCAGATCACCAGCACGGGCACGCGTAGGGCAAGTAGCTGTGGCCGGCAGACAGCCTGGGCTCCAGGGCGCACACACACGTGGCCGTCTCGCCTGCTCTGCGCGCAGACCCAGGAAGGAGCCCGAGCGCCACCCCCAGCTTAGAAGACACTGCACAGCCCGTCTGAACTCAGCTCGGCTTCCGGACCGGCCTGGTGATGGAGCAGCGGCTCACCTTGTCGAAGAAGGAGAACTCCTGCAAGGTCCCGTGCTTCCCCACGGCCGCCATGGACAGGTCTTTGGCTCCACGGAGCTTCACCTTCTTCTGTGGGGGGAAGTCTCTGCGGCTAGTGCTTCGTGTGCCCCTCCGGCGACCCCGTCCCCCTTTGTCCCACACCACAACCACACCAAGCCCACGACCTCCTGACAGGTGCCATAAGGCCTCCAGCGAGGAGCAGGCAGGAGCCTCCTGGTCACCTGGGACCCTGGATGACATGCTCGGGACTGCCTGCCCGTCTTGTGGTACCCGTGCTGCTTAGGGCAGCCTCAGCCTCGGACCCAGGGAAGGGGAAGGGCCACACAGTCCTCTTCGCCAGAGCTGGGGTCTGAATCTCAGCCATTTAGGGCTTCTGGGGACAGGAGGGCACCAGTCAGAATGGCAAGGTTGTGCCCCTGGATATGATGACATCAGAAACTCCCTCTGTTCTGTCCCACAGGCTGAGACGGCAACAAGACAGGACAGGAAGAGAATGGTACCGGGAGGACCTGAAAAGGCCAGGTTTCTAAGTCTTTGTAAAGATTTTTGTCTCTAAGCTGCACTTAAACTTGAACTTGGCCACAGAAAAGACAATGCTGCACAGACACAACATCTCCATAGTGCCTGAAGAATGGTGACATGTAAGGGGACGACACAGGGCAGCCTGACAGGGCCCCCCAGCCAAACATGGGACAGTATGGATGTTAAGAAAAACAGCAGTAAGAACAAATTATTATTATTATTATTATTATTTTGAGTTGGAGTCTCACTCTGTCGCCCAGACTGGAGTGCAGCGGCCGCTCCCGGCCATCGCAGCCTTGACCTGCTGGGCTCCGGCGATCCTTCCACCTCAGCCTTCTAAGTAGCCGGAACTACAGGCGCGCGCTACCACGCCCAGCTAATTTTTTGATTTATTGTAGAGATGAGGTCTCACCAAGTTGCCCAGGCGGGTCTCGAACCCATGGCTCAGGCATTCCACTCACCTCAGCCTCTCAAAGGCGCGGGATTACAGGCTGAGCCACCAAGCCCGGCTGTGAGAACAAATTATAACCCAGAGCCCATGTGGATGCACACTAGTAAACAAACAGGATGAAGAGAAAGCTCTTCCTTATAGTAGAAAGCCGATGAGTATGCACACAGATACAGCAGAACTTGAATACCACCACCATAGGGCAGGGGCAGGGGCATGACAGAGGAAGCCACAACCCCTCGGCTGTGCAGTGACCAACCTGCACAACTGTACACTGCAGCCTTGCCCGTCCTGATGGTGAAAGAAGCCTGAGTGGCACACCCTGCTGCTTCTAGCCATGGGAGGAAGGAGCTCTCTTCCCTCCTCCTCATCACAACCTCGCAAGATGCAACAGGCGAGTGGCCACCTCAGAGGGAGCCAACTTCCCAAGGTTCCACTGCCAAGAATGTCTAGCCAGACAGATCAGGATCCAGGCTTGGCCCCTGCCCCGCCACTGGTGCACGCGGAGAGTACCTTGGCTGGCGCAGACACGGGGCGGAGCAGTGAGGGCCGGGAACGCTTTTTGCTGTGCTCCAGGCTCTTCTCGTGCTCATTCTTCTGGGCACTGTTCATCTCGCATGGCCCGTTTCCTGTGAACTGGACAACGCGGGAGCAGTCAGTGCCAGAAGCCATGCCAGGACCATCTGGGCACGAGGTAACTCCAGCGAGAGGCTCACATCTCCAGGGAGACCCAGCACCCAATTCTCAGAGACTCACGTGGCAAGGCTGGGAGCGAGTACATGTAAGGTCCTAACGCGCCCGCAATGGAGAGAGCCTGGGGGACTTGGGGGCGACACTGGAGCTGGAATCGCTGCATCTCACCGCGTGTACATGAGAGCCAGGTGGCATGTGCGGAGGCACGGCGGGGGAGGCAGGAGCTGAGCTTCCAAGGCTTGGAGGCCCCACAGCCAGTCCCGCATGCTTCTCCGTGAGCCACAAAATGCCTCTTGGGGGCAGTGGCACTCCCTGGGGGCTCGCAGCTGGTTCGGGGCCTCCCTCCCAGGCTCTATGCCAGCCATGGACTGACAGGGACCCATGGGCGCGGGGGATATTCAGATAGCGGTTCTGAAAAAATCCACTCAGGATTTGCATCTGTAGTATGGCAAAGCTGGGGTGGGTGGGGGGGAGGATGGTGGTCAGCAGCTTTACGGAAAGACCCAACGGTGTTCTGAGCCTTTACCACCAGCCCTACACATTTCCGTTCCCATATCCCTATGGGCCTAGGCATGAAGACACCACGAAGGGCGTACCGCCAGACTGACGCAGAGCCACATGGACAGGCCGCGGACATCCAAGCAAAACAGTCAGCAAACCAGACATGACAGCATTGGAGGGCTGCTGGGACAGGCAAGCCTGACATGTGATAAAGGAAAAATAAAACCCCCCAAGCCACAGGAATAAACAAACAGGATGCCATTTGTCCTTTGCTTACAGGGTGTTTGCACACATGGAGAAAATTTCCGGAAAGATACTCAAGATGCTCAGGAGTGCTATCTCTGGGAAGAACAGCCGGGAACTGAGTGAAGGGAGGGACGTCTGCGTCCCCATTCATGCTTGGACTTTTTTTTGCACTATTTTTACAATAATTATAATAATAAAGACCTTGCCACAGGCAAGACTCGGGAGAATTAAACTTATTTGGGGAATAATTACCAAAGAGTCAAGGCTATCCCAAGAACTGTAAGTGGTCAAATTGGCACCCACATAAGAATCCTCTGCTGGGGTTCCTTTGTGTAAATCCCGGAAGAGGTGCAAACACCGAGTCCTAAAAGAGGCAACCATGATGATGTGGCACACAGTGAGCACAAACAGGGACCTCACCAAGTGGGCATCACGACCTCCCCCCACAGCTGAATGCTTGAGCTGGATGGACTCCAAAGACCACCTAGGTCTGAGCTTGCAGGGCACACCTTTGTAAATAAAGTTTTATTGATACCCAGCCACTCCCACTCACTTTGTGCTTAAAGTTTTATTGGCACCCAGCCACATCCACTCATTTTGTTAGTAAAGTTTCATTGGCACCCAGCCATGCCCCTTTGCTGACACATATTCAATGGCTGTTTTCGAGCTACCGGCCTTAACAACAGTGACTGACTGGCCAGCAAAGCCTGAGATATTTACTATTTGCAGAAAATATTTGTGACCCCGATCTAGGCCAAACAGCCAAGTTTAATTAAATCAATGACAAATTTCATCTCTGGTTTCTTTTTCCTACAGTTTTAATCGATTTCCAAAAATTAATAAAGACTGAAGATATGTGACTCATCCAACGGACGGTGTAATGGGTGTTCTTAACAATCTTACCAAGTTGATCCAACCTTTCTAATCACCTGATATGCACTAACACTCTTTGCTGAGTTGATAACAAGCACTGTGTGAAGACACTGTGTGGGCAGGCACTCGTCTGAGGGAAACGCTTACTCTTCTAGGGCGATCTTTGTGGGGGACCAGCTCTCTGAATGCCATCATGGGCACTGTGGCCACAGCCACCAACGATAAGGGGTCCCATTCGCCAACCTTCCAAGACAGCCAGCTCCATGGCACCTGAAGAACTTCACTGGGATGCAAACACAGAACCAAGGCCGCACTTCCAGCAAAACCGCAAGGAACTCGGGTGAGCTGCACCAGCTGCTAGTCTGATCCATGGCCAAGTGTCCACTGTGCATGGCCCCCACAGCCCAGCAGACAGGGCTCCCCTGATACCGAGGGGGTCTCAGGCCCAGCTTCCTAATCAGTTGTGTCAGGGCATCAAAGCCCCAGGTTCACCTGGCCAGGTGCTTCCTGGGGGAATCCACCAGCCATGTGGGACCATCCGCACAGCCCCCTAATGAGGAAGCTGAGGCTTGGGCAGTGGCCTGCCAGGCTCCTGTAGGAAAGGATGACATGCGTGAGGCAGCTCTTGTCAAAGCAGGGCCAGGCGTGTCCACTCAGAGCTCTCAGGAGTGTGGAGGACACGCCGAGGCCAGAGGCTCAAGTGGGTGCCTCTATTAGAGCAGCAAAGGCAAGCGGACAGGCTCAGCCAGGCCTTCCCTGAAGGTGGGACTGTCCCATCCCTGGTCACCTGGCGCTGTCAATGACAGCTTAGGGGCCAGTGGGGATGCCATGAGCACCCATCTCCTTGCAGGGATGGATGCTGGGAGAAGAGTGGCCTCTGTGAGGTCAGGACTGAGGGGCAAGGCCCAGATCCCAGAAGACAAGACCCCCAAGACAAGCAGCAGGACCTGGGGAAGACACATGTCACGCTGGGACCACGGCTCTCAGTGCAACCTACCGGGCTCATGACCTGTCACTTGCCACCCAGGCTATGCCAGCTCCAGAAGGAGGGGCGGGGAGGCAGTGAGACACCACTGCTCCTCCAGCAAGGCTAGGCGGGTCTCTGATGAGCAGGGGGGCAGGGGCAGCCCCGTGTCCGAGGGAAGAGGGCACAGAGTCCTGTGGCAACCCGAATTTCAAAGATACGGGGCAGACGGTGGACGCCAGGGACGACCCTGGTGAGAAGGCCTGGCTGAGGGCCAGGTAGCAGCCATGCAGAGGTGGGCACCCGCACTGGAGGGATCCAGTCGAGGGGGCCCCCGCAGCCACAGGCCAGGGCATGTGGGCTCTGGGCCCGGGGCAGCGTGGCCACTGCCCTCCTGGAACAGATGTGCCTCTCCCGCCCAGACACAACTGCCGCGGGAGACGGGGCGCAGGCCAGGCGTGAAGCCCCCGAGGACAGCAGCGCGCTGGGTCCCCGCTGAACAGGAAGGAAACACACCAGAGGTGACGCACTGGCACAGTCCTCCCACTCGATGCCCCCAGCTGCTGAGCTCATGAGCACCAAGGCTCAGGCAGGAGGGAGGCCATCTAAGCTCAGCCCCAGCGCAGTCAGTCCCGCCAGAAACAAGTCTCTCAGAGTGAGGAAGTGGTTCTGGGTGGCATCCTCACTTAGAGACGGTGCTCACGTCACAGGGATGGGGATGCTTGGGACAAGCCCCGCCCACCAGCTCAGGCTGGAAGACTTTGGGCAAGAAGAAGGGATGGAAGGATGTGAAGGGAGGAAAACCAGAGCACTGGAAACCTGTTGAACTCCACGCAGAGCTCTGATAGCACCCACGCCAGACCCCTGCCACCAGCGCCACCCTGGGGACCCACCGCCAAGCCCCACCCACCCTGTGCTTCACCCAAAGGCAGGACCCACAAGAAGGGGTGGGGGCAAGTGAAGGGGGACTCACACCCCAGGCTGCCCTCAAGGATGAAGAAGAACCAGAACACAGCCCACCATGAGCAGAGGGAGCCCCTCCAACTTAACAAAGGGCATCTACAAAAATTCCCACCCACATCATGCTTGAGGGTGAAAAACTGAAGACTCTTCTGGAAGGTTCAAGATGAGGCCACCCACTTTCACCACTTCCACCAACGCAGCACTGAAGTCCTGGCCAGAGCAACAGGCAAGAGAAAGAAACAACAGGTACCTGCACTGGGAAGGGAAGGCCATCTCCATTCCCAATGACATGATGTGATACACAGAAAATCCTAAAGCCTTAACAGAAACTATTAAAACTCACCATCAAGTTCAGCAAAACCTCAGGACACAAAACCAACGCACAGACACCAGTGGTGTTTCCATACACTAGCAGTGAACAGTTCAAAGACGAAAATTGAGAAAACAATTCCACTTACAACAACATCAGTAAGAATGAAATTTTTACAAATCAGTGTAATCCAAGGAGTGCAATACCTGCATGCTGAAAACGTTAAAATACTGCTGAAAGAAATTCAAGCCGTGTTGTGTTCATGGGCTAGAAGATGGCAGTCTCCCACAAGGCAACCCGAAGATTCTATACAATCCCTACCAAAACCCCAATGACTTTTTCTGTAGCAATGGAAGAGCCGATCTTCAAATTCATACGGAATTGCAAGGGGCCCTAATGCCAAAACAATCTTAAAAAGAACGACGTTGGAGGAACTCACACTTCCTGATTTCAAACTACTGATTTCAAAGCTACAGTAACTGAAACAGTGAGGTACTGGCATTAGAGTAAACACATATACCAATGGATCAGAATTGAGAGTTCCAAATGATAAACCCTATGACAGTCAATGGATTTTCAATGAGGTGCCAAGTCCACTCAATGGGAAAGAAAAATTTCTTCCACCAGTGGTACTGGGACAACTGGATAACCACTTGCCAAAGAACAAAGTTGGACGCTACCTTACACTGTATACAAAACTAGCTCAAAATAGGTCCATGCTCTATATTAAGAGCTAAACTATAAAACCATTAGAAGAGAACATGAAGGTGAACCTTGAGTTGGCAATGACTTCTTGGACTTGATACTAACAGCATAAGCAATAAAATTTTAAAAATAGATAAATCAGACTTCATCAAAATTTAAAACTTTTGTGCATTCAAGGATACTAATAAGTGAAAAGATAACCTACAAAATGAGGACTATATTTGTGAATCACAGATCTGATAAAGGTCTGACATAATATATAAAGAACTCTTATAACAAAAACACAAACAAATGAACACATTGGGCTAGGTATGGTGGCTGTGCTTATAATCTCAGTGCTTTGGGAGGCCAAGGTAGGAGGACTGCTTGAGGCCAGGAGTCCAAATGAGAACCTGTCTACAAAAAAAAAAAAAATTAAAAATGAGCTGGGCGTGGGGGCATGAGCCCATAGTTTCAGCTAATTGGGAGGCTGAGGTGGGAGTCCAGGAGGTTGAGGCTACAGTGAGCTATGATGGCACCACTGCACTCCAGCCTGGGTGACAAAGCCAAACTGTGTCTTTAAAAATAAATAAATAATAAAAACTGGCAAAGGACTTGAACAGACATTTCCCCAAAGAAGACACACAAATAAATGGTCATTAAACAAAAGAAAGGATGCTCGACAGCATTAGTCATCAGGGAAATGTAAATTAAAACCACAAAGTGATCTAACTTTACACTGACTACAGTGGCTATAAAAAAAGCAAAGAGCTGGGCTCGGTGGCTCAGCCTGTAATCCCAGCGCTTTGGGAGGCTGAGGTGAGTGGATTGCTTGAGCCCACGGGTTCGAGACCTGCCTGGGCAACTTGGTGAGACCTCATCTCTACAATAAATCAAAAACTAGCGGGGCGTGGTAGCGCGTGCCTGTAGTTCCAGCTACTCGGAAGGCTGAGGCGGAAGGATCGCCGGAGCCCAGCAGGTCGAGGCTGCGGTGGCCGGGAGTGACCACTGCACTCCAGTCTGGGCGACAGAGTGAGACTCCAACTCAAAAAAAAAAAACCAAAAAAAAAAAAAAACAAGCAAAAAGAAGACTGGAAAATGACAAGGAACAGCCAGAATGCAGAGAAACTGGAGTCCCAGTATGTCGCTGGCAAGAATGCAAAATGGTGCACCCATTGCAGAAACAGCTTGGAGATTCTTCAGAAAGTTAAACATATAGCTGCCATACCGCCCAGCAATCCCACTCCAGCTATGCCCCCAAAAGAACTGAAAGCAGGCGTTCAAGCACATCCCTGGACACAAACGTTCACAGCAGCACAACCAACAACAGCCAAGAGGCAGAGACGACCTCAGTGTCCATCAGCAGGTGGACAGATGAACAGCGTAGTCCCTCCACACACGGAGGATGACCCAGCCCCAGAAAGGAGTAAGACACTGACACAGACCACCACATGCGCGCGCCTCGAACACACCCTGCTGAGAGCAGCAAGACACAGAAGACCACGCTTGGCGTGACTCCAGGGACAGAAACATCCAGTACAGGCAAATCTGAGACAGGAAGCAGATTCCTGTCAGAGGCTGGGAGGGGGATGAGGAGTGACTGCTGATGAGGAGAGGGTGTCCTTTCGGGGGATGAGAATGTTCTGGAACTAAACAGTGGTGAAGGTTGCATAACACCATGAGTGCACTAAATGCCACTGAACTGTTTACTTTAAAGTGATGAAATTTTGTTACATGAATTTCACCTCAGTTTTTAAAAGAGCCTTACAAACACAGAAAAAAAAACAGGATACAGAAAAGGCAGCCCCACCAGGCCTCAGGCCACAGCCAAGGAGAAAGTGCCTCCCCTCTTCACCATCCTCAACGGCAAGCACGCCCCCGCCCCCAGCCATATCCTCCTGGAGCCCTATCCAACAGAGGGAGGGTGGGTGCGACCCCTCCTGCACTTGCCCATGGTGTTGGTAGTGCCAGGTGGTAGTTCCCCAAGTGGCAAACACCCAGGCCCAAACCTGGGTCCCCTGGTCTCAGGAGAAGATGCTCTCTGCTTCCCTCCCCCCAGACCTGGGAACATTCTGCACAGGGTCACTAGCTGCCATGTGAGGGGACCCGCACTGAGGGCCCAGGGTGTCTGCATCCTGTGTACCTCTGGGGACCCGGGCACGTCATGGAGGGTGGATGGGTAGGCCCTGGACGAGCAGTGGCGGGTGGGGCTCTCTGTACTCACCAGAGACCGCTTTGCTTCAGGCAGGAACTGTCCAAATTCCGAGAGCAAGTCCTCCTGGCCACGGAAGAGGTTGGCCACCTCAGTGAACACCTCCTCTTCAGACATGCCCCGGAACGGCCGGCCCCTTGTGTTCAGCTGCTCCTTCTGCCAGTTTCGGGAAAAGGGAAGGCAAGCCATTAGCCAGGCTGAGGCACCTGAGCTGGGGCCCTCGGGCCCACCAGGGAGGAGAGGGGCGAGGGGGGAGCCCACCAGCACCATTCACTACACCTGTGTGCTCACCCACATCCCACTGCCCAGCACAGCCTGAGTCCAGCCACAGCAGGGACACAGGAAGGGCACTGAGCCATGTCCACGAGCACCAGGAGGCAGCAGGCAGCTGGCTGGCTATACTAGGCGGGTGGGGGTGCACAAGGCTGGGGCACACCAAGGCCCTCCTGACGGCAAGGGGAGAGGGAGTTAGAATCCAACCCTGCAGGGAGGGGAGTGGAGGGCAAAGGAAGGGGCTTGCAGGCCAAGGGACCTGTTGGCCCAGCGTCACCAAGACTCAAAGATGATGGCGGGACCTGGAGCTTTAAGCGGGAGACTGCAGGGGACCAGGCTGAAGGGCAGGAACCAACCCGCAATACCGCAGGTAGCTATTGGAAATATGTTCCTGTCAGCTTGACGCCCAAGAAAATCACAAGCAAAAGGCAGCAGCGGGGCTCTCCTGAAGCACGGGTGCAGCTTCTGATGTCCCCAGCCTGTGCGGAGGCCAAAGCTGTCCTCCCGTCATGCTAAAGCGAGTTTCAAACCTCAGCCCCTGGGACACCTGCACAGGAGGGAGGAAACCAACACCCCCCCAAGAAGTGACCAGTATACCCAGAAGCCAAGTAAAGCACAAGCAAAGGTCACTCCGTCGAGAGAGTAAGTAGAAACGAGGCACACAGAGGGAGCAATGACCAAACTGACGGATGCTCAAAAGAACAAAATGGAAGGCGGGGTGACAGCGATCTCTGGCTCCTCAAGCTGACAGGTGGGAGGCACTGGGCTTCGGGTGAGGAGGGAGCACAGGTGCCCTTGGCATGGGCCTTGCAGAGGGAGACCTGGCACTCGCCATTGAGACAAGCTCAGCCTACATCAGGGCTTACTGTGTTTTTTAAATACAAAGCCCATCTGAGCACGAGGCCCACCAGGAACAATCTGAATGTTTCCTGTACACTGTCCTGTCCAGGCGGCACACTCCAGTCAACGCAGATCACACCTGCTGACCTGCCTACTGCACAGTCACACCTGCAACTACACCCACAGGCTCCCTTGGTGCCCTGCTGTGAGGGTGCCGTCCCTGTCCACACCTGAGGTTACACACGGGGCCACCTCCTCCCAGGCCCTCACAGTAACACAGGGGGCCACCCCCCATACCCACAAGCACCCTGCGGGCCTACTCCCAGGGCAGAACTGTATCTGCTATAGTATTCACACAGTTCTCAGCCACTGAGCGCTTGTACAACGGTGCTACTGTTTTGAGTGGGCACCCGTCTTTTTTTAGTTGTCACTGGGGAAGCCTCTAAGTGTTGGGTCTGATCCCTTTTTCCCACAAGTCCTGCGGTCCAGCTGTGCAAATCTGCAGCGTGAGTTCATTCTGGGACAGGCTCGTTCAAGTCCATCAGGGCACCCACACAAGACTGTGCAGCGGGTCACTCGGGCAGGCACTGTGCCTGGATCAGCGACTCCACTAGGCTGGTGTAGACGGCACCTCCAGCTAATGGCCCTTCACAGATAAGAAGGCCAAGGAGCCAGGCTCAGTGGCTCAGCCTGTCATCCCGCACCTTGGGAGGCTGAGGTGAGTGAATTGCCTGAGCCCG